GATCATTTGAATTAAAAATGATGATAATGAATGCTAAAGAAGATAAATTTCCAGATTTGTGATGCTTCGTGGCTCCTCAGGATTCTACTCGTATGCCATTTTTGAACATTTAGAGGACTTTCCTGGTTTCAACCTTAACACAACCAGGATTGCATTCATGCTCAAAAAAGACACGTAAGAATTCCTGAACCTTATTGGACGAGACTGATTAAGTATGTAAGCAGAAACTTCAACATTCTCTTGACAACATAAAGATATTTATTGAAATTATCAAATGTGATCAAATAAGTGTTAGTATAGTAAAAATAAAATTTAGGATAGTTGAAATATAAAATTATAATTGATCCCTGACAAAATATTATCCCTTATATCACCATTGAACAAAGTAACATGTGGGTTTTGATAATGACCTTGTAAATGACCAGGTTTCACTACATGGCCATATCAGATAGTAGGCAAAGATACATGCCCCTTCCAGATGATCGTTTACCTGAAAGAGGTCAACAACTAGCTTACCCAGAAGCAGTACTCCTTGTCGATCCTATAGAACCAGAATTCAAAGGAGAAGTAATATCTAAACTATCCTCTTCCTTGAGAATAATGCTAATAAATGCCTTCGCTATTTTTGGTGTGAACTGAATTTGATTGCCTTGGTTGATTTATCTCTTGCAGGTGGACGACAAGTATCAGTACTCATGTGAGAACAAAGACAATCAGGTGCATGGATGGATATGTTTTGACCCACCAGTAGGGTTCTGGCAAATAACTCCTAGCAACGAGTTTCGAACTGGAGGACCCTTCAAACAAGACTTAACATCCCATGTGAACCCAACAACCCTTGCTGTAAGTGTCTGATCATATTCTTTTTCTTTCAGTGACAAGCTTTGATAATTAATACGTCATCAATAATTTATGTTGCTGAGATGTGTGTCTTCACTTTGGAAATTTTGATCAAACTGGAGACCAGATATTTGTTACTTCTCATTATGCGGGAGAGGATCTTCTAGTAAAACTTGAATCTGGTGAAGTATGGAAGAAAGTCTTGGGCCCGGTTTTTATCTATCTGAATTCTGTACCAGATAGAGATGATGCTCTTTCTCTTTGGGATGATGCTAAAGAGAAGGTAAGGGGTCTAAGTAGAAGATTAAAATCAAAACAAGAAATTGTCTGTCATTGCAGCAAAGTAATTGTGACATTTTTGAGATCATGATCATACTTAATGGCTTTCAGATGAAAACGGAAGTCCAATCATGGCCTTACAGTTTTCCAGCCTCCACGGATTTTCAAAAATCTGATCAAAGAGGCACAGTAAGGGGTAAATTGATGGTACAGGACAGGTTTTATTCTTTCTTACCTTCATTACATAATTTTTACAGTTCTTCCCTCAGCGTCAATAGCACTTAGAACTAAATTGAAAGGTTTGATCATGTTAGATTACCCTCACTTTTAGCTACATGGTAGATTACTTCCACTTCTAGTGAATCAAGGTCC